GCCGAGTGCCGTTTTCGGGGGCATGGGGATCGAAGGCGCTGTAAGGCTGGCGTACAAAAAGGAGCTAGAAGCTATCACCGATCTCGACGAGAGGAAGAAAAAGGAGCAGGAGATGATCGATTTCATGTACGACGAAGGGAAGGCCCTCAACATGGCCATGGCGGCTGAGATCGACGGTGTGATTGATCCGGCTACGACGAGGAGGTGGCTGGAGCAGATGCTTAAGGTGTTACCGGAGAGAGTGCCGAGCTATGTCAAGGCAAGAAGACGTGCGAAGATATGAGAAAAAGGAAGTCCATTGGCGTAATGAATACGTCGATTCGTACCGTTAATTTGGTATCTAGTAGATCTGGGGAAGACCTAGAACCGGGCCATATTCATCGACCGCTAGTGTTAGATCCTGGTCCAGCGGAAGGTTTAGATATAGGACTATAGAGCGAACGGGTCCGTGGAAGACGAGGGGGAGTGAAGGGGGAGTGAATGGTGAGCGCAAGGTATGTCGAAGGTGCTAAGAGGGTGAGATGAGGGTGAGACGAAGGGAGAGACGAGGATAAAAGAGCGGGATAGCTTCGAGCAGTTTTCACAACCGCTTTTGCCGTCAAGCTCAAAGCCAAGTCCAGCGTTTAGATTCCCTCTGCTTAGAACCCCCGTGACACACCCCCTTAGAAACAGCTTAGGACGGTTCGCGGGATAACGAGGTGAATTTGGTATCTCAATTCGCTCAAAGGCCCTGTAGAGCCCGGCGCGAGTTGAGAGCGAGACTGCAGATTCCATTCTCTGAAGGACATTCGGAAATACCTGATCATCATCATGTATCATCCCATCACGAGTACAGAGTACACTGGAGTAGACTGGATCATAGGGTACGAAAACGATAACTCCAGGCGTGGACGAAGAGATCAAGCCTGGTGATCAAAGTGAGATTGAAGGTTGATAGGTAGGTAGGTAGGTAGGTAGGTAGGTAGGTAGGTAGGTAGGTAGGTACGCCGTGTATGTATAGTAGGTGACGCTATAGTACCGCGCCGTTTCTGAAAATCGTGAAGAAGGCCCTCCGTCTACGTTCGAGGCTAGTTTGCGTTTACAATAGAAGCATATATCCGGGGCGACTAACGAGAACGATTGCTGCTGCTCTGTACACTACCCCGTGAGGGAAACAATCTATACTACAAGCGCCTGGTTGGTGTTTCCGGTCTCGGGTACCGAGCACTGTAGGTGTCTGTCCAGGGAAGAAGGCGCATCACCTCCCTTGCCATAATTCAGCGCGGCGTGTGGTGCAGACCATTCAGCGCTGCAAGACCATGCAATTGCTTGCCATCTTCGGGTCAGTAAGGTCCTTCAACGGAAGTTCAAGTCTCGCGAAGAACATGGTCTTGCGTTTCTAGCTCAGTGATGCTATATCCAGCCGTTGATACAGATATGTAGTACTGTGTAGGCATCACCAACCACATCTATGGTAGGAAGGGTATCAAAAACCATCAGGGAACACTGTCCTCCGTTTCTCAACGCCGGCGGCCGTTCCGCAAGGGGTCATGTATCTCAAATGGGGTATCATGATGCAGTTTCATCAAAGGACGTGACTCAAGGTCAACACGGGCATAATCGACATCACCTCTCCACCTCATTCCGCTCATCTATAGATCGCCATCCCCTTCCTCCTCGTCGTCGGGGTTGGCATGGGGTAGACGCCCGAATTTATCTCCACTGCCCAACCAATTCTTGATCACGCATGGAGCAGAGTCCGAACCTTGGCAGATCTTCTTTCTTCCCAACCGCTTGAACTTGGGTCCGAAGGGCCCATTGACGTAGTGATATTGACCTGCGAATCGGTACTGACGCTTGTCACCTAAGGGGTAGAATTTGTCACCCCAATGTCCGGCGAAGTCGAACCACCCGATGGGCGCGTTGGGTGTCCGGTTTGACGAACGAAGCGTGTCATTCTTGAAATCATATGTATACGCATGAGAGTTCAATGCTGGGTCCCATAGCGGGCCACGATCGGTCATGTCGTGAAGGATACCCCAGGGCAGGATATACGGATGCGTCCCGGGCACGGCATACATGGCGTGAGTCCCGTAGGCCGAGTATATCACCGGCCGCTTGCCGATCTTTTCGACGGCTTCGTAGCTGTAGGCCGAGCCAAAGTTGTGCTCACTGAAGAAGACGGCTTTGGGCTCACCATGCTGGAAACGAATGGCGGTATGCTCCCAATCGCCAACGTGATTGCCGAAGCGGACGTTGAGGACGACATTTCCCAGATTGAAGCTGTAAAAGAAGAACCAAAAGGCGTCGACGATGCCATGGCCCTTGTTCACGGTGATGAGGACTGCAGGCGCATCGCTCCGACCGCCTCGTAGCCTGTCCGGCGGCGTGCGATCTCTGGTAGAAGGGATTGACCGCCTCAGTTCATGGTGTGGATGGCGTGCCGACGTGCCGGTCTTTGGTTGGCCGGACGCCGTCATTTGAAAATCGTCATTTTGCTCGAAGCCATCGAGGTCCGGCGCAAACCAATCTTTCACGTCAGCCAATGCATTCTTCACACTCTGGAGATATGTCCTCCCTGGTTTGTGCACCAAGTCCTCGTTGTCTTCAAACTGGTCATCTGGACTTGTTGGTCCCCTTGGTATGTTTTTCTCCCCCTCCAACCACTCTGGCCGCTCCTCCACGTTGTCGTTGCTAGTCAGAAACACCCAGCGGCCACGCTGCCATTGGTTCAGTTCGTCAAGATTCTGCAGGGTTGGGTGTTGCTGTTCAGACTGTACGGGGGTGTAGTTCAGGGTGGGTGTGATGTGGTAGAGGTGTTCCGCGATATCGCACGGCCAGAACTGTTCTTGGGAGTAGAGGTGAACCAGAGGGGCATACTCCATCACGTAGTCCGGAATCTCCCTCAACACACGTTCGTCGGCGGTCCAGTCCTCAGGTCGATCATTGCCCTCTGTCCAGGCATCTTCCCAGTCCCTGCGAGGGCTCTGATTGACTGGGCTGTGTTTGAGGCTCGTCTTAGGACGATGGCCAAACCTGGACCCTTCCGATATGAGGTGCATGTGAAGCCCACCGCAGACCCCGAGCCAGCGACAGCATTTCCTGTCGAGCCAGTAGCGGGAGGTGGCAATCCAGCCAGCCTCTTCCCGGTCTTCTTCTTGCCAGATGAATGCTTCTGGATGGGTTGCCTTCAAAATGCTGTTCGTGCACATGTAGAATATGATGGTCGACAGCACACCAATGGTGGCCTTTGTCTTGACCTGGCCCATCTGCTCTGCTCCCTCCACGGCCGTGCCGCTTACCGATTCATGTGGAGTAATGGGTTCTACAACTTCCACTGCGGTGGACTCGACGACGACGGTGAGAAGAGAGGGATCCGCGTCGAGCAGCGAACCGGACGGCGCCTGCGCGGTGGGAAGAGTGATATCGTTTGCTAGACTGACCAGAGTCGCGGTGGAGGAAGCAGTGGGAAGTATCGAGGGTTCGGCCGAGTGTGTATATAAAAACGGTTGGGTAAGCGGTGGTTGGCTGCCATGATGGCATCCATAGGCTAAGGCCACTGTACATCAGCGCGAACGCCGAAAGGATTAGCCAGAACATCACGAGGAAGGCAAGCTGACAGCAAACGAAGGGATGTGATTTGACCAGGGCACCAAGCACCATGCGGATGTCACGGTCAGGACGGCAGCCCGGCCGAACAAGGCTCGGAATGGCAGCGCCAGTGGCTGCATTGAGGAATCTGGCTTATGTGAGGGCAGGCCTATGCAGAGGAGCATAAAATGCAGGGCTCAAAGCTTCGATGGGTCCGCCGTGGTCTTCCAAGATCGCTCACTCCTACCCAGTACGAGGTAGGGGCTGGGAGAACTGAATAACGATGCGACCTTCCGCCGACATCCGTCTGCAGATGTGTAATACTCCGTACCCGTACTCCGTATATGGGCAACACGCAGGCGATGAGACATACTGACGTACTCTTCCAACTCGGCTGTTCGGCACGTGATTGGCCAAGTGGCACCAGAAGCTGACCGAGAGTCCGAACTCCGGCTTCTGTCGTCGTGGCTATCTTATCGGGGTCTTGGTGATGAGGGGAGCGGCAGACGAGTCATGCTGCTGTTGCTGAATGATGAGTGGGGCTCGAGGCAGATGCGAGGGTTTTCCACATGTGCCAAAACCACAGGCCATTGATGGCTAGCGAGATGGAAAGGGAGAGGGTTGGAATTGCGAGGATAGGGAATGATGGCGTTGAGTTCAAGTTTCCAACTTTGCGAGTCGTGCCCCTCGTGATGCACACGTTGTTTCAACTCGAGAGACTGACACTCCGATCCGTCACTTGCGCAGCTTGGGGCAAACCGGACTAGGCCAAGGTTGCACTCGCTGGAGCCCGGGCGCTAGGCTGTATCAGACCAGAGCCCGTCACCTTGGGTTCACCGGACGCGACTGGCAGGTTAAAACTGGGCGACCAAAATGGGGGCCTTAATACAAGTACAGTGTACGAGTACGAGTCCGGAGGACTGCGGTACGAGTACTCCCTAGAGTGATGGTGAACCAATCCGCTGGCGGTGATCCGGCACCTTTTTACGCTGCTGATCTTGACGTGTTTTACGCAGTACAACACCGCTTGCGGTCACGACTGTTTCACGCCCGCCGTCGACCTGTTGCCACTGATGTGATTTGTTGTCCAGACCAACTTTCAGATAGTCGCTGCCGCCCAATAATGCTACCAGCCTCTAACACGTTGGAGCGGCCATCTGTAGTAGTCCGTCGACAGCTGCAATATATGCATTGTCGAGGTCTCGGCAATGCTTGAGACGGTGACAAGTCCAGCAAGCGATCCGGCACCTGCAGTGGCGGCGTGGGTGAATTGGAAGGCAGCGCCTGGAAAAGAAGCCCGAGAGCCGCAGCCAGCGCTGTCATTTGAAATTTAATTCCCGCACGTGATTGCCACATTTCCCGCCAACCAATGTTCGGGTCAACCATTCGCCAATGTCAGTGACGATCAATGAAAGTTGCCCTTCGCCAACATGGAGCAGCCTGACGTTGACGACGAGGACGAGTATGAGTACGAGTACGATGAGAATGACACAGAGGTAGGGATTTACATTGGACTGTTGCGTGCTCCTTGCGTCGTCTGATTGATTTTTCCTTACATGTTTGAAACAGACCTTTTTCGTGGATATTGACCTCTCGTCTCTCAATCCGGGAGCGAGACCAAATGATGGCGCCATCAGCATGCCCAGAACGGTGACACCCGCAAAAAGAAAGATCGATGGCTCTTCTACAAACACGTTCAACCCAGACGAACCCAGTCAAGATACTGCGGGTGATCCAACAGGGGAAGCCCGTGTCACGCCGATGCAGGTACCGCAAGATACGCCCGCCCACATTGCAGCAAGCGACCAGGATCGATTGCAGCCCTTTCAGTCACGTGTGCAGATTCTCGACCTGGACTCTGTCAATCCCATTGTCTCCTACCAGGGTGAAGTGTACAGTTGCAACTGGAGTGACCTCGTGGGCACAAATATGTTCTTCACGTACCCAGAGACGATTGATGCCGCTGAAGCTTTACGATCGACGGATGACTACAGCCTGATTGGCATATCGCGAATCAAACTTGTTGGCCATCGAGCCAAAATAATCAAGAGACCGACTGAAGCTAGAGAGGCAGGCGGTGACATGGAGAATCGACAGCCGCGAGACGGCAGTAACGCCTTGAATAGTCAGAGCACCGAGGACGGAATCAGAGAGAAGCAAGCTTCATTCTTGGAGAAGCTTAGAGAAATCACACAGCGACAGAGAGAAGCAGATGGCGCTCAGCCACCCATAAGTCAAGAGAAGCATTCGGCCAACCAGGAGAAATCGCACGAGCCCGATGATGTTCAGGTCTTCGATAGGGATGCAGACGCTCTCGTGAGAGTGCAAGAATCCTATTCTCAATCTGATGCAGACGGCCCACAGTCGAGGGAGACTTTTCACAGAGCCGATAAGCCTCATGCTGAGGCTAATGAGACTATGTGAAATGACAAAACCCAAATGGTGTCCGGCAACATTCTGTTGCCTTTGCCCTTGCCCGAGCTCCTCAGCCCGTATGAGCGAATTAAGGATGAGTATACACGACAATCCAGAAGTAAACCCATCAAAAACCAGACTCCTCTATTGCAGTACAACCATCAACGAAACATTGCAATCCGAAACGCCGTGCTGGAAGTCGAGGTTTAGCGGCTTTGTTTCTCGCGAGTCCAGTGAACTGGCGATGGCGGAGGTGGAGGAGGATGGTGCTCGGGGTATTGTCGTCGATCAGAGGATGATGCGAATTTGGGCCGTGGAGACGCCTCGAACGCTTTGTGCATATCCCGGGTTGAGGTCTCCGAGGCCAGCACCGTCGAGCGGTAGGAGATGCGTTGCATGATGTCGGGAGACAAATTGCTCAGATGAAACGGAAGCTTTAAAATCCTTGACTGGACGAGTGCTATAGGGAATAATCAGTATCAAGTCTGCTAGCCGAACATTAGGGTGGTGATCTACTCACACCGAGGGCGGAGACTTTTCGGTTGCTAGCAATGATCGGCAGTTGCTGCAGGTACAAAAGACGAGGCTGAAGATACGTGGTAAGGAAACAGAATTCCTGTCAACTGGGTTTTGCCGGCTGATGGATGAAGACTGCTTATGTCTGTTGGCAAGAGTGGTGATGGAAGAAGGAGAATCTCAGGGAGTTGGACGACCCAAGGTTTCGAGGGAGCCTGGGAATCAAATACCCCTTCGGCAACAGAGTGGGAGTCCTGGCAAATGTCGTTCAAAAAATCTAGCGGTCAAGGCGACGTGGGATTCGCCTTTCAAACGAATCCGGCTGGATTGGCCCTTGCCAAACCCCCAACACGCCAGATATTTCCCCGGAGCGCCACGAGCCACGCCGCGTCTGGGAGAGCAAATGGGACTGTTTCCAGGCTAGCCCGTTTGCATCAAAGCCACTTGGTCATTGTCGAATCCATCCCTGCTTTCTTGTCCTCCGGGGCCTTAACTTTTTGTGCTGGCATTTGACTCGTGGGTAATCTGGGCCTGAGACATGCTCGAGTGGTATGCGTCGCTGGAATTTGTGAGCCGATTGATCGCCCTGCCCGTGCAGTGCGACTGGGGGATCGAGACCTGAGTGAGGTTGACGTGCACCCGATCGATTGAAAGGATCGAGAATGCGTCCCCCATATTTTCGCTAGGGGAGTGGGTTGGCATCCCCATCACCAGCGAGCTATCCAAGCTCCCTCCGACAGCTCCGTCACCTGGTAGCTAGCAACACCATGGTTTCGGTACTTGCAACACTATTGGAGCTGATTTCCTGTCGGGGTATCCATCCCACGTCCGCATCATCCGAAAGGCAGAGGTCACCGAAGGCCGGCCGGCAATTCAAGTTTTCGATTGTTCTCATACCCCTGTCGCTGGACCCGGGTAGGCAGCAAGAGCGAGCTTCGGACGCCGCCGTTGGTTACGCGGAATGCACCCGGAACCAGATTTACGGGGCACCCGCGCTACGCCTCCGCGACGGACCTTGCCAAAGCCACGGCACGCCGACGGGGATCGCGGCTGCACCGGACCTGGCCATCATCACCCCAGTTGGCTTCACGATGTCCTCCTCAAGCGAGCTGCGACACGACAGGTTACCACGGTGCACAGTCGACTTCGTTTGTGCGTTTGTCGAGGATTCCCTGCATTAGGAGAATGAGGGGTGCATCAATTGCTGCCCAACCGGCTGGCCAAGCTGAACACGAATGGAAATATTCAAAGCCGCCTGAACACGTTGCCCCATCCACAGGCGATGCAAGAACAAGGAAGAGGGGTTGCAAGCGAATAAGCCCCTGCGTTGTCATGATTTACGGGACAGCATCCCTGTCGAAGTGCCTGGGCCACCGATATTGTATCACCCCAATGCTCGCCGCCATTTACCTTGAACGAGGATGAATGTGACGGTTGCAGCATGATGACGCTGTTCGAGTAAACTGTTACGCTTGTGCGCCGTGTCTTACCTCCTTCCCCGGATGCTTGTCCCAGGAGCGTATATGGCACAAGCTTCGCCTCAGGCGATGATTGCCTCTTTACTTGGGCTGCAATTTTGTGTAGCCTTACTGGTGACACAAGTGTTTGAGCCTCAGGCCGGAGTTTAGGCTGCAAGTCCTTCGCCGGCCACAATATACTCCACCGTAGTGACTACGGTGGAGGGTGTAACTTCAGTCGCAATTACGCCTCGTACGGCCATCTCCGGAGATGATCGACCACGCAGCAAAGCTTCACCGAGCACAAGCGGTGGGCAGCCGCCAAAGCGAGAGAAGGAAAAAAATTAAGAAGTAAGCGGTAAGTAACCCAGCAGCGCCCCACGATCACGGCAATTATTTGGAGTCCTTGCTATCAAGTGATCCTCCGTTTGGTCTTCTCCTGCTGTCCACTCTTACTTTCACAGTAAGGTCGGAAAAGCCACGATATTTCTCGTCTCCCGGCGTCGTTCTCCCCTTTAACAGCTTAGCCCTTCTTGATACCCAGGATGGACGGGCATGTCATCGGGGTGTTGGGCGGTGGCCAACTGGGTCGCATGCAGGTGGAAGCAGCCAACAGACTGAATATCCAAGTGGCCGTCCTTGACAGCGAGAACGCACCGGCCAAACAGATCAACCTTGTCGCATCCGACAAGCATGTTACCGGTTCTTTCGCCAAGGCTTCCGACGTCAAGGAGCTCGCCGCTAAATGCGATGTGATCACATACGAGATCGAGCACGTCGACACCAAGGTTTTGGAGGAGCTGGAGGAGCAAAGACCACATGTGGAGGGCTCCACGTGGTCGAGAATCCAGCCCAGTTGGCGCACAGTTCGGACGATTCAAGACAAATTCGTCCAGAAGCAACACTATGCACAATATGGCATCCCAACGGCTAAGTCTATCGCAGTAGGCACCTCTCATCCCCAAGGTCTGAAGGACATCGCAGAGCAGCTGGGCTATCCCATGATGCTAAAGTCGCGGACCGAGGCGTACGATGGAAGGGGCAATTATCCAGTCCAGTCGGTGAAAGATATCGAGCCGGCTCTTGCAGCTCTCAAAGATCGACCTCTGTATGCCGAGAAATGGGCTAATTTCAAGATGGAATTGGCGGTAATGGTGGTCAAGACTGCACAAGAAGCTGATCTCGGTAGCTGGGAGAAGAATACCCTCGCATACCCAACGGTTGAAACAATCCATGAAGACAGTATATGCAAACTGGTCTATGCACCCGCTCGAGATGTCTCGAAGCAGGTCGCGAAGGCAGCGCAAGATCTTGCTCGACAGGCCGTGTCCACTTTTCTTGGTACTGGTGTCTTTGGAGTCGAGTTGTTCCTCCTCGATGATGACAGCCTGCTCATCAACGAGATCGCACCACGACCACATAACTCTGGTCACTACACCATCGAAGCATGCCATATGTCACAGTACGAGGCACAGATCCGCGCTATCCTTCCAGGTTTGGCATCGAGGATACCCGCTGGAGCGACAGAATTGACAGTGAAGGCGGCCATCATGTTGAATATACTTGGTGGACCGCAACCGGACTCTCACCTACTAGTCGCTCAGGCCGCCCTTGATGTCCCCGGGGCCAAGATACACCTTTACGGCAAAGGTGATGGGCGACCCGGACGGAAAATGGGCCACATCACAATCACGGGCTCGAGCATATCAGAGTGCGAAATCAAGATGCACCCCCTAATCCAGTGGGTTGATGCGGTGCGCTTGCACCGCAACGACAAATCTTCTTCATCAGCCGCCTCCATTGCAGCAACGCAGGCGGAGCTCCTCAAGAAGAATCCCGCACCATCTCCGCGAGCACTCGTCGCGGTGTGCATGGGGTCCGATACCGACCTCGCCACGCTGCGTCCTGGCCTCACACTGCTCGATACCATGGACATCCCCTACGAAGTCCACATTACCTCGGCGCACCGCACGCCGCAGTACATGCTCGACTTTGGCAAGAAGGCTGCTGCACGAGGCTTGAAAGCCATCATCGCAGCCGCGGGGGGCGCGGCACACCTGCCAGGCATGATGGCGTCGGAGACGCCCGTGCCTGTAATAGGCGTCCCTGTCAAGGCCAGCTCGATGGACGGCCTGGACAGCCTCATGGCTATCGTGCAGATGCCGCGCGGCATTCCGGTTGCAACAGTGGGGATTGGGAACAGTGTCAACGCCGCCATTCTGGCCGCGAGGATTGTGGGCAGTAGTGAGGAAAAGGCCAGGGATTGGGTAGCGGAGCATCTGAAGAAGATGGAAGAGGAGAATCTGGAGAAGGAGCAGCGCTTGCAGAGCGAGGGATGGAAGGTTTACAAGAAGGTGGATGATGGGAGGCATGTGTGAAAGGCTTGCAAGTCTGGTCGAGCCCGCATCGCAGGTCGGTTTCGAACGCTGCGATGGGCTTGTCCAAATCGATCGCAGGCAAAGCGGTCCGCTGTTACAATCATCATCCTCAGGATCAGACTCCTCTGGTCAAGTCTTGACTCCTTCTCTCACTATCTCGACACAACATCAACCCCATCTCCACCCCATGAAACTCTGGCTCCTCCCTGCAAGGCTATGCCGCCATATCGCTCCTGGGGGTCTGGAATGGCCGATCGGGACCTCCCTTGCATGGTGCCACTCGCAGGAATTGTACAGCGAATGTATCAGCATGACCTGCGGAGTCGCTGTGCTGCTAGCCACAGTCTAGCAAGAGTATGTGCCTGGTTATTTTCGGACAGCAGCGTGATTGAAAACATTGCTCAGTCAATACCATGCTCCTGTTTGATCTTTTCCAAGTTGGCTTGTCTCGTGGCAATATCCTCCTTCACCTCCATCTTCATCTTCTCCGGCTGATGGTACAGCACGACCAAATATCGATTTCTAAAATTGAACCCATTCAACTTGTCGCAGGCTTGCTTCGCATCTAGGACATCCTCATAGACGACGTAGGCTGTGCCTTTGGTGGTACTCGAGGTCCCAGCGCGGATTTGACGTATCGGACCGAACTTGCCAAAGAGATCGAACAGGGCGGGGCTGTCGATGTCGTAGGCCAGGTTCTTGACGAAGAGGATGCGGTTGGCCTCTGGGGCCAGTTTGTTGGATCGTGACATTGCGGCAGTCAGCGGGAGGTTATAGCGGCGGTCTGGGAGACTTCTGGGTGACCGAAGAGGTGTCGCTGGCGACAGTCGGTGGTGATGGAGATGTGACTGCGGTGAAATTGTGAAGCGTGGTTAGCGTCCTCGTCAACTTCCTCGAGCAACTCCGAACCGCAACCCTCACCCTGCACCACACCCCTTCTACCACTCCACGACCTCCATTCCTCTCTTCATTGCGCCTGGCCTGCTGCCGGAGACCACAAGAGCTTCCTCATCAATGTAGTCAACGTCTTTCGCCCCGCCCGCCTGC